GATCTTTTGTATTAGTGATATCTTTCTTTGTTTCTGTGATATCTATTCACTCTTCTTTGTATGTGTGCATATAAATATGTACGTGTGATAGTGTGAAGAGAGAGCAACGAGAGGAGTGTTTCTCCACGCGTGTAATTCTTTTCATTTTCCACAATAAACTAAGAAGTATCGAAACACGAATCATTTGTCTCTAATAAGCGTGCTTTCATAAATCTTTCTACGAAATCTGTTGAAAAGACTTTCGTAAGGATATATAACACAATCAACGATCGATTTTTTTCGAAAACTCTTTGCGTACTAACCTTCTAAGATTACCATGTATTTCAGATGTGGAATTCTCAACTGCCATATGTCAATCGTAGCACTTTACAGCAGCAGAAGCGACAACGAAAAATAAATGCATTACTGCAAGTGTTAAACAAGGTGAATTCTGATGAAAAGGACGCTGGTGACAGTTCAAATATCGATGAAGAAGATGAACCATCAAAAGGTTCTCCAAATAAAAGTACAACTTTAGAAGATGATTTTTCACACGGCGACGACTTTGATTTGAATACGACTACGTATAAGCCAGATGAAAATGATGCTTTCTCGTATGATTCAACTGATTTCACAAACGATTCTAGTTCACCATTATACGAACATTCATATATTTCTGTAAAATATGCTGCAATGTCAATTTTGTCAATAGCGACTGAAATTGAACTTTTCAAAGTCGACGGTCGATCGTATTCTAAAGGTGATTAAATCTTTTTTACCTGTTCCTAATGTTTTGCCAGTTACACAATCTTCAATTATGAAATTAATAGGTGTTACACCAATATCATCATCTAAATATTATTGCAATGTTTGTAACAGTCTGTGTGGTATATGGGGTGGTCAAAAGTTTTGTGAAAATAAGAAATGTAATTTATTTAATCAATCATTGCAAAATCGTAATGTAACTGAAATAGTTACACTGTATATCAAGGAGCAATTGAAATCAATTCTTACTCGAAATATCTCGTTATTGAACGAAAAAGAACTCTCTCAACCATATGATATTGATTCTGGTGCTTTTTACAAAAAGTCGATGATTTCATTAAATGAATTACATAGGGCCAACAACGTCACAGTTTATCCCACCACTCTCAATATTCACACCGATGACGCACCTTTGGTACATACAACCAAATCATCTCTATGGCCGTGTTCAGCTTCAATTGTCGAACTTCCTCCACAAGTTAGAGAAAATCAAACAAATACAATTGTCTTATGTTTATGGATGTCTAGTGTGAAACCCGATGTGAACCTATTCATGAAAGATTGCATTGAACAATTGATAGATCTTTCGGTTCCATCAATTTTAATTATCAATCATTGCTAACTCCTGATTACAGTTAAAACGCAGTTGTTTATTGCAGACTTACCAGCAAAAGCTTTGTTTTGGAAAACAATTAGATATAATGGTTATAATGCGTGTGCGAATTGTTTAACCGAAGGTAAAATATTTAAATGACGTCTCTTTCAATTTCAGTTCAAATACATTGAGTTTTCTGCTGCAGGTTTTTGTATTAATCGACAAGTATTTTATCGTTAGCAAAAAAATGCTTATCGACCACGCACTCACACTGAGTTTATAGCAACAGCTCAAGCAGCTGATATTCGAGTATTTGGTCATAAAAAGGCAGGTAGTATTTTAGGTGTTAAAGAAACTTCGCCTTTACTTGAAATCTTTGAATATCCAAAACAAATAATTGTTGATTATATGCATTTGTCTTGTCTTGGACACATGTCAAACTTGATACAGGGATGGCTATTAATGTTGAATTCCGACACACTTTCAGATATAAATTCAATATTATATTCTCAAAAATTTGCTCACAATATGAGTGTTAAATTCAATTATCCAATTAATGCCTGTACCGATTGGAAAGCAAAGCATTTTCGTGTCTTTATATTGTCAATTGGACTTCCACTTCTACTACCACATTTACCTTCGATTATCGCAGCACATTTTGCGTTATATTCAATGTGTATCAAATTATTACATTGTCCAAAATCTGATGAAGAGATCGGATTAGCAGATCAAATTATTCATTATTATTGTTGAACTGCACCTCAGATATACGGTGAAAACATTGAATTGTTTTCTCTTCATGCGCATTTACATTTACCACAGCAAGTGTTGTTGCATGGAGGATTATCTTTTAATTCGGCTTTTTGTTTTGAAAGTGCCGTTCGTTATTCAAAGAAAAAGGCGCATGGAACATGCCATCTTGCTACTCAAATTGCTGATTGTATAAATATCGAAACTCTTACCTTACGATCACGATTTGAGTTATCACAATCCACTGGTATCAATAGCATTAATATCAACGATGCTTCATTTGATAAGTATCGTTGTATTTTTTCGAACATTCTGCACAAATCTATTCAAAATGAAAATGAAATTATTTTGTTTTTACGATTTAAAAACAATTCCAATACTTATCATTCAATCATATACAATTTACCATTTAACTGTTCAAGTTACATAATTTCTTTCACGTTTATGAACTATTCAATTAGATATGGTCAAGTTATAATTTTTTTCAGCTATCATGATGATTATTTTGCTTTTATTCAAGAATATGAAGCTACAAAACGAAACATAAATGATCATATTGCTGTACCTGCAGAACTAAAGGACAAACTAAATGAGATTTTCCCAATTAGGACTTTAAGTCAATCATATATAATCATACTAGTCGCTGAAGAAGGATCACATCCTTGCATTATAAGTTAAATTAATTAAACGAAGCAATTCTAAACATCATTGAAACATGAATAAAATAAAATAATTATAAAGAACTTTTTGCATCCTAGATGTGAGTGAGAGTATCGTCATATGTTGATGCTAATTTTTGCACACCCAAAAGGTGAATACCCTGCCAGGATCGATTAGTATGACCGACCGGCCGTTTATTAGGTAACTTTCGGTAGAAGAATTCGATTGAACTGAATTTTTTTACACAGCATCATCTTATGAATATCTCAGTCGAGTTCAAAGATGGCTCCAATCGATTGTACTAGCGCTGACTTTCGGTTGAATTTTCTCAGATTCTTGTATATAAAGTTGCTTGATTGTGCGCTAGTTCTGTACATCGAGAGAAATATGGAGATAGTGTCGAATGACCAGAGAAAGACCAAACATGGGTGACCTGAATGGAATTTCACAGATGTTGTTGTCGGTTTCAGTGAAGAAATCACTTGAGTGATATATTACTCACTCACATCTTGTCGTTGATCCGCTAGTCCTTAAGACCAATCAAGACGACTTCTCCTTCTTCTTTTTCTTGAGAAGAATTTCGACCGTTAGCTCAGTATCTCATGATTTATGAATAAACTCTCATGATGAATCTCTTGTTACAATTTGTCAATTTTATAAATACACAATCTATAGAATTGTTCTTTAAATATAAAAACAATTAAGTAGAAATGAATACAAAAAATGACATTCTGGATCTGTTTATAATTAAAACTGCTCCTTGATACAACTTCTTCTCAATTGTCTTCATTTTTGTAAAAAAATAATACTGGGAAGAAATCATCTTGTCGTCCGGATCAGTTAGAATATCCGCTAACACATATTCTTTTTCTTTTGATACACGTCATTGTTTTATGTTGGTTTTTTCCTCTTTTCTTTCCCATAAAGTATGCGACTATTCACCTACGGAGCCATTCTCTAAGCAAACAATAATTCGATTTTTTCTCCTTTTCCCATGCGACGGCAACAAAAGGTAACTCTGAATTTCGACGAGAATATCTACCTGATGTTTCTTATTATCTGATTGTAGAAAATATCTGTGCAAAGACGATCATGTAATGAAGATTTGGCCAATGAACTTTGGCTTGAAATGTTCGAATACTTTGATTACGTCGATCTTCTGAAGGCATTTTTTGGTCTCAATCGACGAACCAATCAACTTATTCAATCTATTAAAATTCTTTTATTGCGTTCATCATATGTATTGAGACATCCAAACCGATCAACAGATCACGTCCAGTAACTGTATAACTTCACAATTGAACGAAACGAAAATGATTTGTCACATTTAGAAAATTCGAATCGAGAAATTTAAACAAATTCAGCACTTCCAACGAATCATTCAATATAAAGAAACGTCTTACATCTTTCTCAACTCTTCCTTCACTCACTATTAATGGTAACTGACAATCATGAGTGTGGGTGAAGTTATATATGAATATCCTTCTTATCCATACCTTTACGACTGAAACGGATAGAATTACGACGCCTATCCAAATGAATAAGTTCTGAAAATATTCAAATCGAGAACCAGCTTAAGTTACGTGCTGGTGACGTATCTAAAAACTTTTAAACACACGATATCGTTTCTATTTACAGTGCTTAGAACAATTTCGACTGCAAACGGTTTTGTGCGGAAAGATCCACGTTATACCAGAATAATGCAGGAAAAACATCAACGTGCAGTTTATAGAAATGTAATTCACCAACGATCAAAAGGTAAATACAAGAGAAAAGAATACACATGTAATTTACCAAGGCAAAAATGGACCAACAATTTCCGATACTATTTTCAAAATTCTGACAAAACATTACGCTTCTATAAATCTGCCAGTAAAACGTGGAATTTTTTTTGCTTACTCTATTAATGACGAAAATGTTGAATCAAAACGACCAACTATGTAGAAATTTATAGATGATCAACATGACTTCAATAGATTTAATATGTCGTTACAAAGGAGTTGAAACGCATATTAATCTACACGAAACACATCAACTAATTATCGATTGGTTTTTCTGTTGTTGTCCAAAAGAATTAATCAATTCAGATAACAAAAATCTCTTGGAAAACATTTTAATGGTGGTGAAAAATGACTTTTTGAAGGAACACTCGGATTCATAAGACAAACAATCGCTGATGAATTTTTTTATCTTTTGAATATAGATCACTTGATTTCGTGAGGATTCTCATTTTGAAATTGTTTTTATTAATTAAAATATAAGACAAACAAAACGACAGGAAAATTAAGTTTGTTGATTTGATGGGTTGATCCGATGCAATTGCTAAGGATCAGCTCGTTGAAAACCATTGATCCATCTTCTCGGGATGACTGATGAAACTAATTGACGGCGAAAACTTGGCGCAGTTAATGTGTAAACATAAAATGTCATCTAAATGTTTCCATATTCAATGAAAAGTCTTTTCCGAACAAATTCTTACCGCATTAAATACATAAATCCCAAAAGCTCCTGTCGCTGTTATCGCTAAACTCTCCGCAGAACTTCGATAAGCTGATTTACTCGATGGTAAATCATATTGTGTAAGTGTGATATAAACAAAATTGCTCACAAAGGGCAACGCAGTCAAAATATATAAAACAACTTGGCCAAGAAGCATTGTCGCAAGTTGAACATCACGTTTACGAACGTTTATCTAAAGATAATAATCCATGTTCATCTATTTTCCAATGAAAAGATTTACTTTTTGTTGATCCAATCTCTTCGCATTTTGTTTCAATCGCCAAAGAATTGCACAACTCAGAATTGTCATCGACACCGCTGGAATTCCAAAATTGAAAACAAACAAAACAGCTGTATCGATAATTCTTCCAGCACTTGAATTCGTTGTGCATTGACGTGTTTGAGGAAATGCGTCATAAACAACTAAAACATAAACTGTTAAACAGGAACAAAAACCAATGATAATGAACAGATTTCGAATGGCAATTTTCGATCGACAAAATAATCGATGATGAACATTCGGTGAACACAAGAAAAAACGATCTAAACATGCGAAAACAACGCACGCACGACTGATCAGTTGACAATTTGTTAAAATATAATATCGCATTTTACACGAAAGTGTATTGTATAACAATAAATTATAATTGATAAAAAATGAAATCATTCCAACAAATAAACTGAATGTTAAACAGAATAGATTTGCCCATGTACTTGTATGAAAACAGATCGCACAAGAATTTGTACATAATGATGGACGGAGAAATATAAGGATGTTTAATGAACAACCAATCAGACCGAAAGTGAAAAGAATTGGCTGACCAATTTGCCGAAATCCAATTCGTGCTGAAATTAATCGATTCACAGATGAATCAATTGTTATTGCTGTGGAAATATTTGATGTCATTTGTAATTTCAATCAACCGTTTGGAAGTGAACACCCTTATAATGAGTTTGTCATTTTTGCGTATTCTTTCAAAAATATCAATTCATTATGATAAGTGCTGAGGAGATATTGTCGAGATTAACTTCCCTATTTGAAATATTAAAATTAAATTTAGAATGAGGATTTTCTTTGAACGTATTTTATAAGCAGATAATAGAATTTGCAAGGAGAACTCGTGTTATTACATTGAATCTACGATTGTGTTCGCTTTCTTCATGAAATGAGTTAGTCATTTCCACTATTCGAAGTTAATTTTGATTTACTTGATCGGATAGTTACAGTAAAAGCGTCTTTAATTGTTGATTACATGTCTATACACAAGATTTCGTTTTTATTCAATTTTTCAAGGGTTCGTTCCCATCAACCGTCAAGGGCAGATCTAGGAAATTTTGAAAGAGGGGATGCGGACTATGCAACGAAACAATTGTTAGTATGAATTATTCCGAAATCTGCATTTCATATACTGCGTGTCATATAGTTCCATTCTCTATACGAGGCTTATACCTCTGAACTGAGTTCTAAAAGTAACAGAAGTATTGGTCGAAATAGGAAGGATTCTTCTTGCAGAGAAGGACGTGTTAAAATTTGATTCCGCAAATATCAATTTTATAAAACACGTTCAATTGGTTATTATTGTATTGATTGTACATGGGAGTACTTTTAACGATACAGATTTTCATCTTCTCTTTAAAATTGTCAATATTACGTAAACACACGCATTAAATTCTTAGCAATCATGAGAAGCATTCTTCTATGTAAAAACGTTTTTTGTAAGATTAGATTTCTTCTGACAAATCAAATTGTTTCAGACGATCAACTTCTCTTTCACATCGTGACGAAACCGACTCGGAAATTTATTGTTAGCAGAAAATTTCTTCGCCATAATTGAAACTCGGTGATGAATTTCAAATATGGATACAATTTGAGCATTAGACAGTTTAATAAGAATCTCGATTACAATGAAACCCAAGGTATGTTTTGTATAATACTGAATCCATTTTAATCTATCAAGTAATTGTTTGATAACTGCTCGATCAAGTGTTGTGTAGTTATCATCGACCTTTACGGTTACATCAGTGAATTCTAACATTTTAATCCATTCTTCTCTTATTCCCTCGACTGTAAGCAGGGTCATGTCGAAAAAAAGTGGTCAAAAAACGGAAATTCGTTTGTTTGTTTGTTTGTGTGTCTGTCGCAGGTCAAAGGTCAAAGGTCAAATGGCTATTTTTCTGGAATTGTTCAAAACTTCATAAAAAAACGTTTGGAAGGGATTTCGAGAGTAGTAGTTGATCTACACGGTATTGGAGGCTTCGAGGCTTTGTAGGAAAATATCAAACGCTGATGGATACCTGAAAGAGATCGCTCGGCCATCTGATTGAGGACCTAAAGGTGTCAGAAACAGTTTTGGCAGGCGTTGGTACTCAATGAAGTACTAACAGACTTCGTTTTATGCAGTAAAAAGGTAAAAAGCCGAAAACAGCTTCTTTGTAAACGAGGGTGTGGGTGAGGGTTGTGATCATACAAAGTATATCTAGAGAAGTGGAAGGTAACATTTAGCCNTCTTTTGGTTTTGACGTTCATAAACATCCTTGGGGTGGTTGAAAACTACCTCTGAAACTTCGATTAAATACCGACTAACTAAAGTTCATATCGAAAAGAAAATTCTAATTCTTGAAAAGAGAAGAGCGAAAGTATCAGTAACTGAAAATGATGGGTATCCTGATCATTTTCTTCTTGTTCTTCTTGAAGAGTCTTATATTCTTTTTTCCTAACATATAATTGAAAAAATCAGAACAATTGACTTTTCATAGAAGAGAAGCTGATCAATTACTGACAACACCGACGACAGGTTCTACTTTGGGTAGTTCATCGACAGCCCATTTAATGATTCGAGATAATGGATATTGTCGATTGGGTCGTTGTGTAAGGTCTCGAACCGACTGCCTTATCTTGCCAAACAATTCATTTTCTTCATCTTTCAAAGAATGCATTGCTCCCGAAGACACTACACAAAGTGGTGTTGAAGTAGCAGCGGGCAACCATTCTCTGATGGATGTATGTACTTGAAAAGATGTTGAATTCGACTGTGAGTTACTTCGATTGATCCCATCATGAGTTGTCGTTCTGGAAGGTGTCGACGTCAGAGTTATGTTTACATTGGTGGTATAGACCGAAGCTGTCGGGGACGTAACTTGACTGTGCCAAAGACCTTGAGCACTTTGAAAAAAAGTACTATCGTCTGGCGTTTTGTAGTTTCTCTCCATTGGTAATAGGTTGCTGTGTCCATTCAAATTCCAATGAATACAGATATAAAAATATTTCAAGTATTTGAAACAACATACACTGACTTATTTATAGTACTCCAAGACGGGATCAACAAATCTATTGTTTCGCAAACAGAAAAAAATCTAGAATAACCATTCTTATTATAGTGTTTTAATTGATATATCAACAAAATCAACCTAGGTTATTTCTATAAGCATATTAAACATTAAACAGTGTACGAGATCGCTTCTATTGTATTTGTTCAGATGTTCATTTTGCATCAGCAGCAGAAGCAACCTGCGAAGCTGACCAATAGCGTTACAGGATCTAAAAAGATTAAGATAAATGTTGAGGGTGGGTGAATTCGAAGAATATAAGGTATGCAATGACGTGAGAATTAGAAAGAGGAAATTTGAATAAGTTCTGAGGCAGAAATTAGCTTCGGTAACTCTTTTGCATAAAAAGATATAGCCGAAACTGCCATTTTATGCGATGCACGGCGGGGAAAATAAGGACTGGAAGCTTAGAAATTTGAATTATACTGATTCTCTACCTGTTATAGCCCTTCAACACGTGAGATGTTTTTCGTTAGATTTCGTACATCGATGTATGTTCATTTTCATTGAGCGAGAAATACAGTACTCGTAGTAACCGTCAAATTCAATTTACTGAAATGATTGTGCAAGACTTAATTATCGATTTGGGCTTACCATTATCGGTGGTCGATCATCCAGCTTTTCTACGTGCTATGAACATTGCCGATCCGCGGCTTACCGTTTTGTCTCGACGCACACTTTGTCGTGAAACAAACCTGTAAAGATGCACAATTTGTTGGATTGACACTTGATGTTCGGACCGACAGGTGAATGCGTGCGTTCATTGCGATTACAATGCATAAAGTTAACGATCGTAACGGATCTATTGAAAACTGTCTTTTAAACTTTCAGTCTTTTTCTGATAAGTTTATATGTGCTACGATAACATTTGTCAGAACATTTCTTTTGGGACCACATACTGGTGATAACTTACGCCAACGACTTGAAGATACTATTGCGGCCTTTGATATTGAAGACAAATTTGTCCGAATTGCTACAGACAATGCATCAAACAATCTTAGAGCATTCGATGAACTTGTCATACCTGGCTTTGAAGTTTATTTCGAGCCTGAAGATGACGATGTTGATCCAGTTGAGAATGCCGAAAAACATGCGTAAATTGATAGTACGAATCAAGAAGAGCGACTTCGAACTCTCTGCTTCTCACACACGTTGCAATGTCTTGTTGGTGAAGGATTGAGAGACTGTGAGGCTGCAAAAGCATCTCTAGCTGTAGTTGCGGCAATCGCAAAATTTAGGTAAGATGATAAAGAAAACCTCTCATAATACACACGATTACTCAGAGGAACTATCATTATGAAATGATAACTTTGTTTTAGTCACAAATCAATGTTCTTTGCCGAAGTTTTACAAAGAGAAAACATTAGTATTCCAATAACGGCGAAGACAAGATGAAATTCTCAACATCACACTATTTGCAAAATCCTCGAAATATCTCACACGTTGCTCAACGATTTATTTCGTAGTGTTGATCGTACTGATCTTATTCTAACAGCTTGCGACATTCTTAGTCTTCAGGAATTTGCAAGTGTTTTTGCTTTATACGCTGAAGCTACAACCCGCGCACAAGCTGACAAAACTGCTTCCATTTCATTAGTGGCACCAAGTATTCTCTCAATTTATTTCGATCTCGAACGTGAACGTACCAATTGCGAATACCCTGGGCCACTCTGTCGTACATTAGTAAATTCTTTATGCGAACGATTTGGCCGTCTTCTTGAACGATGCGAAATTTTCGCTGATAGCAGCATTAAGATGAAGAAACGGTCTACACCCGATCTTTTCTTGGTTGCTTCTTTCCTTGATGGTCGTTTCAAGTTCAACTGGATTCTCGCTTCTGATCTACTTGATTCAACAAAAGAACGATTAATAAACACGATGAAAACACTCGTTCTAAAAGCTGCGTTACAATTACATGGTTCACTGAGTTATATCTCAGAAACAAATATGGAACCATCTATTAGTGATCATTGTGGTACGGTGGATGAATCGCTGAGTAACTTGCCAAACTTCAAGAGGAAACGACTATTTTCTGGTTATGAAGGACAAAAAGCATCAGGAAAGAAAAAACGTTCGTGCATTTTGGAATCGATTGAAAGCGAAATTTCCATGTTTGAGAAAGAAGATGGCGACGATTCCAGTTTGGTCTTGGAAAAGAAAAATACTTATTCATACCTACAGAAGCTTGCGACTAAAGTATTTTGTATTCTTGCAGCTTCTGTGCCAGTAGAGCGCGTATTCTCTTCTAGCGGAATATTAATGCGTCCTCATCGTGGTCGATTATCGAAGAATGTGCTTTCAGTACTTACTTTATTGAAATGTAATCGTCACTTGTTGTAACTAATTGGTCAACTTATTATGGTCGTAAATGCGTTTCACGTTGTGCTCTCGGTAAAATAAGTGTAGTGTTAATCTAATATAAATGTTTCAATGTACATTACGAGAGAATTTCAGTGGACTCGCGTAACTGTAGAAAAAATTAAGGACATTTGTTGATGGAGCTGGAGCTGAGATGGAGCGCGAGAGACTCGGAACTGACCGTCTCTATTCTATAACGCATATATCTCCAGTGTATAAATCTTATTTAGAATAAAGTATTGCCATAGCTTTAGATTCATTCAAGAATATGCTATGATATAAAGAAAACATTTCAAGAACAACCTTTTGTATATATCTTCTGTCATTTTTCACATATCAAGTTCTCAATCTGGAAGTTTCTTGGCCATCATCGGCTACCTCCGCTAGTTTACTATGAAATTCTTTATATGAATTCATATACTCTTAAAAAATGTATTCCTGGAAACTAACGGTATACCAATCTAAAGCCGATCTGATTCTAATTCTAGAATTGGTGAATATTGCGATTAGTGTATCCCTACAGAGAAGTTCGCTCATATAAACTGAAATTTATACTGTGTATCTTTATGCAACCATATCCGAACATGACAATATTCGAAAGAAGATATTTTCAGCAAAGTTTTGAATAGATACGTTTTTCTCTTTGTAAGTAGGCTACATGAAGAGTGAGTATTACATTATTACTGAGCGTCAAAAGCGTTAGAGGTTGGATCTGACAAACACTTTATCCTTTAATATTTAAATTTGAGAAATATTACTTTTATTAACGAGCACTAAACTGTTTAAATCATATTAGAGAAAATATAATCGATTCATATTGAAAGATAGTTCTATTATTGTCGGCTATGATAATATTTAAATACGACATAAAGAGACCGTTAGTAGTTGACCATTCACTTGGTATTGATGAGCGTGTTCGATGACATAAGTTGCTTGTTGTTCATCGTCGAAGGCAATATAAGCGTATCTGTATAAAACATAGTGGAATATGAAATAATTACATTATAGTGTGATCTTCGTCACAGAAGTGTAAAATCCATTAAACCAAGGTATTAAGATGGCCTAAATTCTAGAATGATATCTGCTCACGATTGTACCTTTAAAACTTATAATCATTTTCGTAAACTTACTGATTCATTTTCCGATATTTGCTGGCCATCTTCAGGGTGAGGGTGTGAGTGTGCGTAAGGCGGAGAAGACACCCACATCCACGCCTAGACTCAATCGCACTCCCACTCTTCGGAATACTATTCATCTATGTTACTGATATTCAGTATTTTCTAGTCAAGCTACTGTAATCTGTACACTTTGCTTCGTATGATCTCAGATTCTTTTCAATAGTTAAGTCAATATTAATCTATCAAGAAATAAAGTAAAGCTATATTGCTTCACAGTTCTTACCCTGATAAAACATTTCTATTGTTCGTCGTTTTTGCGGTTATCGATGGTGTAGCAGAGACAATAACTGCTGGATAGTACTTTAAGATTCGACAATTGGGAAACAAATAGCATAGGTCGTCGTCACTGACATTTGGTGGAATTCGCCGAACCACTATTACTTTCCGAGCACAGCTTTGATTTCTCCTGAGGAGAGACGCACTATCACCAGCATATTCAATGCGACATTGTGGACCAAGAACATGGAGATTAATGGGTCGTCGGCGATTTACTTCAGCTGTTTGTGACGTACAATGAGTCACAAGAGCATATCTATTGAAAAGATATTCATTTAATTATCGAGCAAAGAAATGTCTATAGTATACTTAAGATGTGATGTGGTACGGTATCGCTTGATTATTACATTTGAACATCCTGGAAAAAGCCTGCGTACATCCTCATGACACACACTCTTTTTTAATCCTGAGACAAATAGTGTTTTACGATCATTTTTTGTCGGATCAAATATTCGATTTTTCGTCGTTTGACTTTGCTCACTAACAGTTGTTGCATATATATCGAATGAATCTGTTGATAAAGAAATCTAAATACATTTCGAGATTAATTTATTTCGCAATATAAAATGCGCGATAATGTCTGCTACTCTATTCTATCCGACCGTTGTAATGCCTCAAGAAGCACAAATAACTGGTAAAATAGACTCATTACAAAGACGTATATCTCCGATCTCACTCAAATAGAACAACAAATGAAATCCGAATACAACAATCTTTTTGTTTCGTTTTACTTTGCTGTGTATTGAACGCATAAAAAAGAAACTGTTTCGCAGAAATATTTGTCTGTATGACATTTCTGATTTCTGATTTTGTATTATGACTATAACAATTTCAGAAAACTAAGTTCATGACGTCCTTGCTAACTTTGACAATCAACTACACCGTTATGGATACAATGTCGGGGTGTTGATTAACGAAAATTTCAGTTTTCAGACGAACGAAACTTCAATAGGGTTCCGTGTTTTGATTACTTTTCGCTGTATTGTGGGAGTAGAGCAACAGAGCAGAACAGAAGAAAAAACGACTGTTTCAACTAGCATACAATGTTTCTTTTTATCATAAATACGTCTAACATAGCCGCATCCTATTTTATTTCGCTAGTGTGTTGTATGTCGTACGCAGATTTTTTCTTACTGTATCTATATATTCATTGTCTCGGCTATATATTGACGGAATCGATTCTTCAGTATCGAACGGTATATCCATCAATTCTTCGCATACGATGAATGGATTGTCTACATCGTAATTACCGACCAAATTTTCGTGGCCATTTATAAACGTTGCAGTAATTTGTTGCTTTTGTTCTGTACTTGTGTCTAATGCCCTCAGATACTCGTTTATAAGAGAATCAGCTATGGCTATGTCAGATGTGTGCCGATGGAACGCGTCTTGAACAATACCTCGCCTATAATATCGAAAAAATCAAATATAATTAATACTAATGATATGAAAAGCTTTACAAACATCTCAATTATTACTTTTTACTTCCTACACTGGTACGAATAAATACGATACTTTGCAATTATTTGGTTTTATCAAGCAAAACATATTTGCACAAGAGAGCGGGTCACCCGATCTTATTTGTATAAGAAAACTACTTTCTCGCAACATTCGTGAAATTACATTGATATATATTAACTTTGTTTGTATTGTCGGTAACTGTTAGTATGCATTGATGCTGACCATGTTTCAACAGTACTTTGCCGAAAAGTACAATAATATCTTTCTTTTCGCACGAAAGGAACTAAAATGGTGTATTTTTTAACAAGATGGTACACTCAACATATCCAGTACTAAATATAACGCAGGTGAGTTCTATTCAGCTTTTTCTCGATTAAGCAATATCTATACTATTTGGTAAAATTTCTAAAGTAATCAATATCAGGATCGAAACGAGTAATCTAATTCTAACACTATTGTCTTTTTAATATTACTGCATAAAAGATGTGCTCATGAATATGAAATCAGATTTTTCTCTCCTTGGTTTTTTCACAAATGCAAAGAATATTATTACAAAGTTCGATTGATGATGCTTAAGCAATGAATTTCGTCAGTCTAGTCAAGTATCCTTTCACTCAAAGAAGATCTTTTTAAGCGCTGATATATGCGATTTTAAAAAAGCTCGAGAAGACAAAGATTAGTTACGGTATGTGAGAATCACCATACATTACAGTATTATATTTTGCGAACTTTGTATTACAAAGCGCGATCTTCGCATTATGTACGACGTAGAGGCCCAAGCAGGTCGTGATTCTGTAGGCATGGCCTGCACAGCATTCCTGCACCTGCCTGCCTGTATAAGCCTGTCTAATTTTTTTGATAATATCATAATTACAAAGATCGCTAGCAAATTGATTATCTGGGTTCATAAAAAAAAATTGAGGGGGCTCGGCCCCCGGCAGCCCCTTCCCCCTTGGCGCCGCCACTATAGGCAGGTAAAATCGACAAGTAACGCTCGCCGCGCCGACTCACTTAATCCCCGACCATGAAGGACAAATATTCTTCACTTGTGTCAATATTGATATGAATTCATACGACAACTTGATATGCGAGAAAACGCCTCACATGTTATTGTTCACATATGTTTTAACTTTCGAAAATAAAATATTAAATTTTTTTGTAAAATCAATTTCCCCTAATAATCACCTCTATACCCCACGCCACAGTTTGACCCAATACCTCTGTTCCTACTTCCCCAAGACGATGATTTCAGACTAGCCTTCACTGATGTGTTTTTGACCTTTGAATCTGATACAATTTTACAATCAAACTATCTTTTGCATAAGACCCTCGCTATAGTCGAGGGAATAAAAAACACGCGGTTTACGATTGAAAATACGTTGCTCGAGACAAAATATATTTATACGCGTACAAAAGCATATTTCTTAATGCGGTAGATATGTATGCGTTTTGTCTGCTTAGGTATTAGTCATATTTCGTTGAGATGATCATTTGTAACAATATGTTCATGAGATAGTAATAGTTCAGAGATAAACATATATACACACCTGTTTTTTTTATCGATGAAATCAAGATAACGACATAACCAGANCATCCGATGATCTAACATTTTGATCCACTCAAAGAATACCACTATCTATTCTTTATTGATTTTCTTCTGATTAGATTCGCACTTCTTACCGAATGATTACAATCAGCTAATTGTAAGATATACCTTATAATGTAGCAGGGACACCCCTCTTTTACCTAAGTAATGTCAAGACTGTTTGATTAATCTGGTGCGGTACTTATTCCAACAACAAAAATCGAAAAAAACATTACGGAATTTCTTCCGATAACAGACCTGGTTGGTCGTGCGAATAAATATATTGAGCAATATTCTCATGTATTTTGACGTATATATATACATATAGGCAGAACTGTAATCTTATTTCAAATAGTTAGACTTTTCCGTAACGCATGATATCGCTGTTCATCAACTAAAGATCCGAATAAATGTATATTTTTTCTCAAAAAATGATTTTACTCGAATAGATTGTGGTTATAGTTTAATAATTACGACTATATTTCTTAAATAAGATTCTATATATCGCCATAAAGCACACTAGTAAATTAAACATATCAGTCTGAATGAAAAGATTTTTCATCACTGATAAAATAGGCTGTCATATTCGGTATTAGTAAGAACATCATCATACGGTTTAATACAATTAGCTGATTGTAATCATTCGGTAAGAAGTGCGAATCTAATCAGAAGAAAATCAATAAAGAATAGATAGTGGTATTCTTTGAGTGGATCAAAATGTTAGATCATCGGATGAAATCGCAGATAGGTCATATATATGGTAAATCAAGGATAGTCAGATGGACTACAAAAAACAGTATAACATCAAAATCATAAGTCCATTTTTTATCAAAAACTGCTAAGAATCGGTGTTTGATAACACTGCGTTTTCCCACAATGTGAGAAAAACTAATCAAAGATCTGACTATCGCATTTCGTATTTAACGCTCAAAGTCGCAAATGATAGACCGTTGATTGCCGCGGTAGTCATTGAAAACTTTTTCCATGGGTCATTTCACTTACTCTAATACTTGATATTGAACTTCAGCATTATTCATATCAAATCGATCTTTGTTATCTTTATACGAATAATTACTGAGAGGAGATGTTGCCAATACACTTGGTATTAAATCACATGACGGAGTCATTTGCTGTGGTATAAGTGTTAATTGCATACTCGTCGGCGTCATAGTTTCATCTAAATTTAGTTGATCAATTATTCTAGTAAATACTTAAAAAATAAGCACATAAAATGGATGCAAATGGAGTGAAATGAATTAACTGTTCTCTATCGCAAGAAAAAATTTCACTGAAGATCAGAAATTAACGATTTTTCGAGAAAACACTTCTCTAAATATCTACTCATCTCAAGAAAGTGATCTCGTCATATCTTCAATTACAAAAATTAAAATCATAGATAGTATGAATTACCATTCAATGATTTATCTTCAACCCTTTCCAATATTGATTTTTTCGTCAGTTTTGAATACTTTTGGTCTAAAAATATTTGATAAAAGAACTTTAAATAATTGTTAAGAATATTTAAATAAACCTTTTATTATAATTGATGTATCATTAGTAGTATTATCAAGATATAATTTAGTGTACTTTTGTATCAGCTCATGATTGAATACAGTGATGTCAATTGTTTCTGATAAAGAATTGTTAAAAATGTTGCATTGACATAATAAGCTTGAATGATTCGCATGACCATCTTCAATCCAACTAGGTAATGCAAAAACAATTGATTCACTCCAACTAACATCTTCTGAGAAGCTTTGTGAAAGAGTACCAGCTGATAAAACTACAAACTCATTTGGACATTGTCCTATTCGATGATAACGAATATGATGTTTGTCCAAGAAAGAAGGATCAATCACTATTTGTCCATGATTAAGACAAATTGATAATTTCTCTTGATCAATTATTGTTTGTAAAGATTTCCGTTCACAATCGGGGATAATGTACCAATGATGAATGCCACCTTCATGGTGATAATCAATTGAAAAGAGATGTTGTTCAGTGCAACTTAATGGAAAGATGGCACCTGCTCTATGAGCTCTTTTTACACATGGTGCACATTCACTTACAACTTCTTTTCCAGCCATTTTAAGAAGTGATTGATTCGGTATACGATGAATATCGAAATACAGTCGTGCTGTTTTCCGATGAAAGAAACTATGATTGGATGAAAATGAAATATTTAACTGCCGTTGAGTATTAATTGGATCAGATAAATCTGACCAAAAAGTATCTTCATCTTTTATTATTGACATTTGTTTGTTGAGTTCATTACCATAACTGATATCTTGCACAGAATAGATGAGGTTATCTGAATGCGTCTTAACTATTTGTCTGTTTATTGGATGTAATAATAAAGTTTTTGATCGCTTCTTTAAAGCAAATTTACAATGAATGTCTGGTTGGATTTTAATCGCGCCATACTCTTTTAAAACTCGTTCATGTTTATATGTAAAATAGACAATGTTTTGCAGTTCATTTTCATTGACTTGGAAAGTGGGAACACCCATCATTACGGGCAAGAATATTTTGTTCTATGAAATCAGAATTAATTATTAACTACATAGAACTAGAATAGTCTTAATCTATTGACAGTTTTAAACAAATTTATAGACAAATATTTCAGCTCAGGGGTTCTAATGGGATGGGATGAATTCCAAGTCCCGTGGTATTTAGAAAATGTTTATTTATGGAAAATAATAAAATGTAAAGATGTCGCACTTAGTAAATGATGAATTCACCTTTTTTATTCTTTTTCTTTATTGGTATATAAAA